ATGCTACGGCACTAATTTTTATTCCGAATTTATTTTGAGCATATACAGGGCACAACAATAAGACGAAGTTTTTTGCCCAAACTTTGTAACACCCTGTAGGGTGCAGCAGCTGTAGTAGCTATTGATAAAACAAATCACATTGTAGCCTCATCTTTTGTGAGCATTTGGTTTTTTTTAATCACGACATTATCTCTTTTTGTATTGGAGATACGCTGCTTTAAAACGCTGCTTTGTAAAGGCTTTAAAATCAAATCAAACATCAGAACGTAGACGTAAACTAACTAAAACATGAAAATTAAAAAAAAGTAAAGAAATTTTAAGGGACTAATATCTAGTGTCCACTCGCCTGGTGAAATTTACCGTTTCCATATACCGATTTCAGGCATCCTGGACTGTTGTTCGAAATATAGCCAGGGTATTGGAGACATAACGTTGACTTTGGCCATCCCCAATTAAAGCCACAATACGAGCAACATCCGGTACAGATAATGGCATTTTTTAATTTGACAACCGTTCTTGTCATATTGCAAATACTCATAAATCCAATTTCGCCTATGTCGCCTTGATTATTTACACATAAAACTTTCTGCCTTTTCCGAGATGTATTCTGAATTTTTCCGAGACGTTCGTTTTAAAACAGCGTATCTCCAATACAAAAAGAGATAATGTGGTGATTAAAAAAACAAAATGCTCACAAAAGTTGAGGCTACAATGTGATTTAATTTAGCAATAGCTACTACCGCAGTTGCGCCCTACAGGGTGTTACAAAGTTCGGGCAAAAAAATTCGTCTTATTGTTGTGCCCTGTATATACTCAAAATAAATTCGGAATAAAAAATTCTGACGTAGCATCCGTTAAAAAGGAATTAATTTACAATTTAAAAGAAAAATCATCAAAATCTAATGAGTGGTTCGCGAGAAATCCAACTTTGAAATTGGGTCTAGTTTTTAGTTGCCGGTTTTTTTTGCCGGTGAGTTGTATTCAAAGATATAAAAAGTTTTTTAGTTTAGTTAAATGAAAATCTCCATTTTTTTAAATTATATTTCCAATACGCAAATGTGTGAAAGATTTCGACAACGATATTCAAAAATGAGCGAAAATAAAATTCGCCTTTGAATTAAAATTACATATTGACCGGCACAGCATTGCCCACTTTTACATATTTTCTTTTAATCAAAATATTTTAGGAAACAGAAATATATTAATTATAAATATATAATTACTAGCGTGTACCAGCGACTTCGTTCGCGTCGAATTAACCATTTGTAATGGTGATGATAAAGCAAAGCAAGAATTTCCATTAACATACAAACTGGATAAAATTTTCTCACATTTATGTCAGCATGAGAAAAAACAATACGGCGATATTATTATATAACTTGGTAATATTTGATGGGTAGTTTCATCTCGTTGGAATTTGACTTTCGAAAAATCCGTTTGCCAAAATAAGCTTTTTACGTCAAGCAGTTTAAACAGAATCGTGGTTAAGAAATTACCCAACTTTTTGGAACACCCTGTATGATTTTTTAAAAAATTTCAAAATATGTAAAAGAACCAAATAAATTAAGCTTGTCCAAGCGTTTTCCCGAAAGACCAACCGTTTTTATATTTGAGGGGAGTTTTCACCCTCTTGGAATTTGAGATTCGAGAAATCCCTCCTTATCGAACCTCTACACCCCACAGTCAATCCGTTTGCCAAAAATCAACTTTAAACGTCAAATAGTTTAAGCAGAATCGTGAATTTTGAATGGTCATATTTTATGAAACACCTTGTATAAATTTATAAAAAATCTTAAAATATGTAAAACAACAAAATAAAATATACGCGTTTAAGAGTTTTTCCGAAAAACTCACCGGTTTTTAAATAAAAAATATTTTACTATTTGAGGGATAGTTTCACCCCCTTAGAATTCGAGTTTCGAAAAATCCCTTCTTCTCTACACCCTAAAGTCAATCTGTTTTCCAAAAATCAGCTTTTTACGTCAAGCGCTTTAAGCAGGATCGTGATTAATCAGTGTCCAGATTTTTCGAAACACCCTGTATACATTTTTAAAAAATCTTAAAATATGTAAAAAACAAAATAAAATATACGTGTTTAAGCGTTTTTTCGAAAACTTGACCGTTTTTTAAATAAAATATATTGTAATATTTGAGGGGTGGTTTCACCCTCTTGGAACTGGAATTTCGAAAAATCCCTTCTTATCGAACCTCTACACCCTAGAATCAACCTGTATGCCAAAATTGAGCTCCTTACGTTGAGTGGTTTGAGCAGGATCGCGTGATTAATCAGTATGTCAGTCACTTAAGGATTTTATATATTAGTATAGATGAAACATTATAAAAACAAACTTCGCCCTCATGGTTGCTGGATGGATTGAGTAGTTCAGCAGCCGTGTTGCCGGTCCCAAGCCCGGATAAAAGAGGAGGGTTCAAAGGTTAGGTTAGCACCCTGCCCGAGGAAAAAAAGGTTACATGCTCACAGAACCCACAGCTTGTCTCGGAATCGGATGGAAGAATATACGACGACACACGCAAGAAAAAGGACAATGAGGTTAAAAAGGAAGAATTTACTGCGATTTGCAATATGGAACATCAAGTCACTCAACACTAGAGAACAAGAAGTAATAAAAGAACTGGTACATGATCATAATATCGACATCTGCGCCGAGCGGGAAACTAACAAGAAAGGAAAAGGTCAAAAACAATACCAAGAATATACCTAATGATCTACAGTGGAGTCGAAAGGCAGGAACGAGCCAAAGAAGGAGTTGCCTTACTGATACACAATAAATATAATTCAAATATAAATGAATGCCGTTATATATCATCACGCATACTTGTCGCTGAAATTCGCGCAGAAGAGTAAAAAATATATGTAATATCAGTATGTACACCGGAAGATAATAAACCCAGGCACGAGCGCAAGGTATTCTATGATCAACTTCAAGATACGATTGATTCTTTACCAGCAAATGAAATGATGATTATTCTAGGCGACTTCAATGCACGAATTGGCAGCGAAATAATACCAGGAGTGAAACAACGATTTAACGAAGATGTACTAAATAGCAATGGGGAGATAGAACGAACTAAGAATAAATAATACATTCTTTGATCATAAACCTCAATTTAAATATACATTCGAAAAGACAAGAGGACAAAGATCAACAATTAACTACATACTAAGCAACAGAAGAGTACGTCCAACACAGATACAAGACGTCAGAATAGAAAGTAAAGACATAAAGATGGCGCACCGTTACCATTAATAAACAGAAAAAGTCCTGGACAAGACAACACTCCGAATGAACTACTTAAGAATGGAGGACAATATCTAATCTAGCAACTAACTAAACTAATTAAACATGTCTTTCTCTATCAAAGAATATCCGACGAATGGCGAACAAGTACCACTATCCTTATGTTTAAGAAGGGGGATAAAGAAAGACCAGAAAACGGTAAAGGCATAAATCTTCCCAGCATAACATTAAAACTAACAACAAAAATAATAACAAACAAATTAAATAGCATTAAATCTCTATCAGATGAGCAACAAGGATTTAGAACGGGTAGATGATGCACTGGTGCCGTCTTTGTTATAAGACAGATTGCAGAGAAATCGATTGAGTACAACAGACCAGCTTACATGTGTTTCATAAACCTGCAGAAAGCATTTGATCGGGTTCAATTAGAAGATGTTGTACATTTACTTTATGACAGACAAATACCCCATAACTTAATTAAAGTCTTAGAAAATATATACAGTGCTAACAAAATCCTATATATACAGTGCTGGAAAAATAAATACATAGGTGTCGAGGTCAAGTCAAGAATATACAAGGCTGTCGTCAGACCCATAATGACCTACACAGCAGCCAGCAAAAACAAAATGGTTCTTGGAAACAGGCGAGATGAAAATCCTCCGCAAAATCACAGGTAAAACGCTGCTAGATAGAGAACGAAGCGACAACATAAGGTAAACATGCAAGGTGGATGGCATTAATGAATGTGTATTGAGCAGAAGACGCGAAAGGAATGAACATATAAGCCGAATGGACGAGGGAAGAATAGTAAGGTCAGCTCAACACAAATCACCACTGGGAAGAAGAAGTACGGGAAGGCCAAAAAAAAGATGGTGTGATAACCTTACCATCGATTGAAAGTGTAGGCATGATGTGAAGAATGAACAGGCAATCTGCCTGTTATAGAGTAGGATGAAGAAGAATAATATAATTACAGTCATTATTTACATTAGCAAAACTTACATCCTTAACAGCGCTTAAGGGACATAAAGGGCCATTACTACCGCCTTTTCGTTCAAAATATTCTAATAAGCTGGCGATGAGGTTCTAAAAAGAATAGTGTTCAACTGTAAGGTCTGCTAGTAAACACATTTCATTTAAACAAAAAAATCGTAATACAAAACTAAAGTGTCAAAACGAATGAAAATATGAATAAATAAATAAATAAATGTGTCAACTTTATATTTTTATACAGCAGAGCTACCATCTGAATCTCCAGCGGGACATTTAAATTCCAGTTAGTCAGCCCGGCGCCGAATATGCCAGCAGGTTTCGCGTCCGTCATTCAAGGCGCGTGTGTCACGGCCTTGAATTTTTACTCCAAACGCGCGTAAAGAAATTTCATTTCAAAAATACTAAAAAATAGAAATTAGAGGAGAACCATTGTAAATCTGTAAAGTTCGCAGCGAATGAGGCTTCCCAAAAAAATCTAATTTAAGCTAATGGTGCGATTGAAAACTTAAAAACTCTTTTTATGTTTCATATTTCAGTGTTTTCTTTCCCTTATTACCACCGGCATCTTCCTAGCTTAAGCCGCACCGCCAACAATCCACCTCGAGCCCTCAACTAGTTCGTTCACGTGTTGCATCTCTCCTATCGCTTATCTATCTATCCCCCGGCGATCCGGAGGGCGCAGCCGCGTCCCGGAACGGAGCCAGCGGGCTCCGGAGCCAGTCTCGATCCTGCCGCCAACCTGTTGGTCCGGGAACAGACAAACAGACCACGGAGCAGACGTCGTCTTTGGCAGAGAGCGACGATTTATGAACGAGAGCGATCGCCTGTTGTTGTCGTCGTCGTCGCTGACACGTCACGTCCTTTTGATCGCTGTTCTTGTTGTCGCCGCTCTAGAAATTCGCGGCTGAGTTAGGAGAGCGTCGGGTAGGGTTGTTGTGTCGCGATTGGAGCTGTTTGATCGTGTTTTGGTTCGGTCGCAGTTGTGGGTTGTATTTCGGTAAGTTTGTTTTCTTAATATGAATTTTTGGGGATTGCATAATTTAGTGAAATAAATTTATATTCAAATTAAAATACAATTAGTAATCTACTATGTATTAAATGTTGTATGAGTTCTTGTTGTCTTTAAGTAAATAATATTAATTTAATACTTTTAGAAGTACTAAGAGGCTTGTAACGTTTAAGAAAAAAAATCATTGGTATCGTTTAAAATGATATTCTTAAGTTTGATAATTATGGTTTTCATGACATAAATATTTTAAAACATGTTTTATATAAATTTTTTTATAGAAAATATACATTTTCATAAAATAATATTTTAGTAGGTATGTTTTATAATATCTTCCCGGTTAAAATTAAGTATTTCTTGAAAAATAAAAGTTTTTGTTAAAGGTGTGTTAGGCAGTGTTGATATAATGATTGGTAATAAAAACTGTAAACAAATATATCAACATCTACATAAATTACACAGAGGTATAGACATTTTTTATCAACATCTAAATTGAATTCGTTTAACATTTTATTGAGACTATTAAATATTATCTGAAAAATAATAGAATATTGTTTTTTGGAGTAAAAATGATACTTTTTGTGACAAGGCTGTATGTTCGACATGGTATTTTGAATGGTATATTATAATATACCATGTATTCACAAGTCATTTTATAACTTACCATTCAACATTATTCACAATTCATATGATATTTTGTATATTACATTTTTTGTTTGTTGTCCAGTGTTCGTTGGTTTAGTTTGGGTTAAAATGGATCTAAGTGCATTTTGTCTTTTGAAATATGTTCGCATACTATATTGTTTTCCTATCCTTCATATTTTTTCCGAAAGGCCTCGTATGTATGGAATTATAAGTTGTATATGAGAAGCAGACTTTCTAGATGCATTTTGTCCATTTTTTGGAATTTTGACAAACAAGGAAAAACTGATGTGCTTTTTGCAAGAAACTTAACTTACATAAAAATATATATACTACATACATATATGTTTCTATAAAAAATATATATACTACATACCTAGGACTTTTTTGAAGAGATTGTTTCTTTTATATTAAGAACTGAAAATCTATTATGTTTTTATATTGGACGTGTACTTAGAGTTTCTGCATAACTTTAATATACATGATACACTTATTTTAATTAAAATTAGTGATCAATAAATTGCTAGAGAATTTAACAGAGAAATAGTACTTTAACGGTAATAGTACTCTAATAAATTGTAATTTCTATACAAACGTATACTAGAAGAGAAATCGAAAAGCCCAAAACCTATAAAAATACGTTTTATTATATTTTGGTACGTACTAATAACAACACGTTAAACATAAATTGGTTTTATTCTTTTTAAACTTGGCGTATATCTCAATTACTCAATTACATCTTTCTTTATTCAATATTACTAATTTACTTTAATGAATAGGTACGTTGCTCGTCAATTTAATTTGTTTGCCAGCTTTTGCAGCTTTTCCTTTGAATTTATTTTGTTTATCAAAGGACTTTGATCTTGAAGAAATTCAAGTTAACAAGTGGCCACATTGATTTTCTATTTTATGTAGAAACCTTTTGCTTCGACTTTAATTCAATCAACAGAAATCAGATGTTTTATATATTAGATATACTACGAAGTTTACAAACACAACGATATTATGATTTGGGTTGCGTAGGTTTAAAAACTATTTCTGCAATCAGAAATATCAATGTCGTATATATTATTTTTTCCTGTAGTTATTTTAAATCAGATATGTAGAATAATAATCCAAGAAGGTAATTTTAGTATCAGCTTATTTATAAATTTGTATGCAACTATGAAATATTCCTAATAAAAATAAACTAATACCGGGTACCCAGTGACGTAGAGGTACAGCTCTCGTCTACCAATCTACAAGTTCTGGATTTGAATGCTGTAGTCGGCATTCCATCAGCTGACTATTTTTAATAAAAAAAAACGTTTGGGTAGCTAGGTCGACTCAGCCTTAAATCAGTTCTTGGTATTTACAATCCTGAGGTAATAATATAGTCTAAGAGCTAGCAACGTTTTCGAGAAAGTATTTTAAGAAAGATTTTTTTGATATATCTTTTACTATGCTCTCTGGAACAACATACGGCCCATCTGGCTGACAATATTCGTTGCGTTCACTACTGCGCATCAGAAGAAGATCCTATATAATTTTTTTATTTAGTCCGTTACGTAAATCGAATAAGTCTTCGTAGCGCAGCACATAGAGTTTCCGACTACGAACCGAGGATTCAGAGTTTGAGACCGGGTCAGGGCAAAAACTTTTATATTTTATTTTCGTTTATATTCTGATAATAAAATATTAAATATTTGTTTTTTTTTGAATCTCCAGAATTATTTAATACTGTCAAGGTCAAATGTAGCGCTAAACTGTATTACTGGTTGCATAACTGCATTACTGCTACATAACCGCAACGTGCATTGAGGAACCTGGCGAATTCGCCAGAAAGTAAAAGAAAATTACAGAATTCTTTAGAACGTTCCAGAAACATTCGCCAGGGGGTATATAAAGGCCCGCGCTTTGGCAGTTGACAGTCTGAAGTTTGAATATACCGCGCTTGGAAATTGAAAATCGGACAATTTGGTGAAGGAATTTTATAAATAGTTAGTTATTGAGTGTATAAAGTAAGATAATAAAATCGTTAAGTATTTTATCGTGAGTTTAAATTAGTGGACCCACGGAATCCGTAACAATACTTTACTATCAGAATATAAACGAAAATAAGTAAAAAAAGGTTTTGCCCTGACCCGGTCTCGAACTTTGACTCCTCGCTTGATAAGCGGAACCTCTACGCGCTGAGCTACGGAGACTCGGCCAGTTTACATTCAATACTAGAATTTAAAGGAGTAATAAAAATATAGGATCTTCTTTCAATGCGCAGTAGGGAACGCAACGTTTACCGGCAGCCAGACGGGCCGCTTGCTGTTCCAGAGAGCATAGTAAACGATATATTAAATAGCCAGCTTTCTTAAAATAATTGTTTTTACGACATTGCTAGGTTTCGTACTAATAGGCGTTAGACGCGTAGTGCTAGTCACACAACAGTACATAAAAAATTAAAAATTTATAATATAATGTATTTATAATGTGAAATACATAATTATATTTTCATAATATATATGTACAGGATACACTTTTCTTTTTAAATTAACAAAATATATAATTTTATTTAAAAGTTGTTAAGAGTTGTTTTAATATTTTGTATACACATAAAAAAGTAGTTTATGCATATTATAATCAAATTTTGACAATAGAAGAAGATTTCTATGTTATTTGTATAAGTCTACATTGTTGCATACCGGTTGGTGAATTGTCGTTGTGAAAACATAGGAAATCCCATGCACATTTTGAACTGTCCAAATATTGGCCCCCCTATTAATTTTACAGTTCAGTCGTAAATAGTTTTTTAAAAAGTCTGCCTATGCTGAATACACATGCCAAGTTTAAATAAGCTTGGACAAGTCGATTATAATAGTCCAAGATCCCAGAGTGATCAGACATAACTTAGGCTCTCAGTAGTACTCTTATGTGCTTTGAATACCGGCGTGTTTGGGGGGTTCGCCCTCTGACACCTTGATATATACCAGGTGAGAAAGGTAACTAAAAATAAGAAATAAATTTTTCCATGGACCATTATCAGACGCGTTAAGCTCCACAAGAGATAAATAAACTTGACTTATTCTTAGATGTCTGATTTTTACATATGTTATAAGACATATTTAATCAGCCAGACAGATTGTAACGTTTGAAATAGTTTAAAAAATTATTGGTGAACATTTGAAAAAAAAGCATGTTCTATTCGGAGTAAAAACGACTTTTTGTACCTCAGTTGTAAGGCCGGATTCGTTAACGCTCGTCCATCAAATCATATCGGGCTGATATTTACGGCTGAATATTTTTTAGAGGATATTTGGTCATCACAATTTGTCTGACTGATTAAATATAACTTTATATGTAATAGCTGTCTTAATAACATATGTAAAAATCAGACATGTAAAAATAAATAGAGTTTATTTATTTCTTGTGGAGCTTTAAAGCGTCTGATAAAACTTCTGGTCAATGGAAATATTTATCTCTTATTTTTAGTTACCTTTCTCACATGGTACCTTCCAAGGTGTCACAGGGCGAACCTCACAAACACGTCGGTATCTGGGATTTTACTCTGGGATTTTACTCTATAAGCTCTCGGATTCTACTCTATAAGCAATTTGAGAAAAAAACCGCATCTATTTTTAAATTAAAACTGAATAGGTAACAATGCAAAACCAGTTAAATGTCAACATACCTTAAGTTGTCAACCTATGGTTTTATCGTTGTCAAATGTAATTTGTTGCGCTGGCGCTGTCTACACTAATATGTTATAATATAGTCTGTCCAACGAGAAGATCCTCGACAGTGATAGATGTGTCTGTCATTTTAATTTCAAAGTAGTTTATTTTATTTTACAAAGAAATAAGTTGGTACAACTGGAACGCATAGCAGGAAATTAATATATTTAAAATTTAACTGCCAAGTGATTACTTCAAAATATTGTGAAAAAAACTGTATAAAACTGAAAAACTGACATCGAGTTATTTTATTTAATAAAAAAACGGTATGTGTTAATACAAAACAAACAAGAACAAAACAGCACATACCAAAAAAATATAAAAAAGAACTATTTCTTACTTTCAAGCTTTATGAAACTTCTTGCATTTATGATTATTTTTACCAATATAACTTATATACAAATACAAATTTGTAATATCCCACAGGAATAAATAAAACAACATAAATAAAACAAACTATTTTATTAATAATAACACTTACCATAAATATTTTATACCTTAAAAGTTGATTAATTAAAATTAAACTTTAATCTTAATTTTTTTAAACCAGTACCTTTTGACATTATTTTTCTGCAGTACTAAAATGCATTATTTACCTATCGTGCAATGTCGATATTTTACAGCTACTCCAGTTTTTAGTATGTG